TGGAATAGGACCACCCCACCCACGTCAGAATCAGCCCCTGTGATTCCACCAGTGGATGAGGTCCTCCCCCAGCCCTCCACATCTTGTGTGTGTGTGTATACACACGTGTGCGTACACACGCATGCATACACACGCATGCACCCACGTCAGAAACAAAGAGACACAGAGGTAGAGAGCCACATTTAATATGCAGATATTAAAAAGACCTATGGCAGTTGCTTTTGTCCCCTCTAGTATGTTGGGGGGGAGGGTGGCGTGATAGTTTACACTGTCACAGGAATTAAGGGGACACCGCTGGGACAGAGCACAGCTGGGAGGTTGAGGGGTCAGGCACACAGCCTTGTCACAGCGAAGCTGGACTCTGAAGGGAGCCACGTGAGGAACATTTTCAGTAAGAACCAGGCAAGAGAGCATACTTGTGAGTGTGCAGGAAGCTCTCCCAGGAGTATGACCTCAGGGAATCAAGGGAAAGGAATCCTGCCTGGGAGACAGAGGGCCAGGGTCTGGAAGAGGGGCAGGCAGGGCCAGGCTGCTGTAGGAGAGAGAGATCAGCATCGAAGGGCCTCTGGACCCCAGGGTCAGCCCAGCCTTGCTGCCTGAAGGGGAGGAAGGTGAATGGCCACCGACCACTCTGGGAGCAAGAGGAAGAGGACTGCATGTGGAAACCAGGCACATCTCTGCAGTGTTTCCCCCCCGCCCCAGCTCTTCCCTTCTCCAAACCTCCATCACCTCACTCATAAAGAGGAGTAATAAAAATACCTATTCAATGCAGAGGATGTTCAACCAAGTGGTTTTTAGAAAAATGCCTAGGCAGGAATCTGGTGTTCAGGCAGTTGCCACTGTCCTGCTGGTCTGTGACCAGCTGGCAATGGGCCATCCCCACAGGGCCTGTTAAGACCCGTCTCTGGGGCCACCTGGGTGACTCGGTTAAGCATCCAACTCTTAATTTCTGCTTAGGTGATGATCTCATACTTCGTGAGTTTGAGCCCTGCATCGGGCTCTGCGCTGACAGCACAGAGCTTCCTTGGGATTCTGTCCACCCCTCTCTCTGCCCCTCCCTTGCTCACTCTCTCTCTCTCTCTCTCTCAAAAATAAATAAAAATAAACTTAAAAAAAAAGACTGGTCTCTGAAGCCCTCAGGGAGACAGTGCTGCCCCTCAGCTGTGCACTTACCCACCGTGGTCTGTCTCATGGGGCTGCTCAGAAGCCAAAGAGTGGTAGATGCACACACATGTTAAGATGGCAGAAGGAACCTGAGTTTCATTTCTTATCAGTTTTCACATAGCAGTTGGAAAACTGCTCTTCTCTCTTTTCTGAGACAGTCCAACCCTGGGATATTACAACAGACAGGGTCCTTATTCATGGGGTCAAAGACCTGGGGCCATACAGGCAGTAGTGATGGGACAACTGTGGCACCAAGAGACTGAATCCTGGGCCAACCTTCTATTCCCATGCTGCACCGCCTCTCCTAAGACGAAGTCAGAGTGAGAACAGCTTGGCACACCACTGTTCCCAGGGTGAGACCCTCAGAGGAGTTCTGTCCCACGGCCAAGATGCACAGGAATGAGAAGGATTGCGGAGCCAGGGCATGATCCCCCTGAACTTCACACCAATAGTAGAAGGCAGTATGGGTACATGGGCCCATGAAATGTAGGTTGAGGGACTCAGCAGTGCACTTGAAGAGATGGCATGGGGCAACAGGGTGAGGGTGGCCAAGGTGGCCAGAAGCCTGTATCCCCATGGCCCATCCGCCCCTGTCATCACAGTGCCTGAATATGAGGCTTCGGTGGCAGTGGGTGGGGTGGGGTGGGGTGGGGGTATGAGGTTCAAAAAATAAGTCTTCAGGGGATAGGCAGAGTCACTTCTTTTCATGTAAATGGTTATATTTGAATGTGGTTTAAAAAAAAGTGTATTTTAAACCCACTCTTTAATCTCTGCATGGAGGACAAGGTACAAAGAAGGAGGTAGTAGGAATAAATCTGCACTCTAACACTGGCGAAAGCTTGTCATGGTTACAGCACGGTGACCTATATGAGCGTAAAAATATTTTGATGGAATTACTCCCAATGACCAAAAGGTGGAAACAACACAGGTATCCAGCTACAGATGAACAGATACACAAAAGGTGGCATATCCATACAATGGAATATTATTCAGCCTTGTGAACTGCATCTGCATGTCCCCTCAAAATTCATATATATTGAAGCCCTAACCCCCAATGTGGTATATTAGCAGGCAGGGCCTTCAGGAGGTAATGAGGTCTAGATGAAGTCATGAGGATGGAGCCCCATGATGGTATTAGTGTCCTTGTGAGAAAGAGAGACTAGAGTTCATTTTCTCTAGTGAGTTCTGCTGTGAGAACACAGCAAGAAGTAGGCAGTCTGCAAGCCAGGAAGTGGGCCTTCACCAGGCACTGGCTCTGCCGACACCTTGATCATGGACTTCCCAGCCTCCAGAACAGTGATAAATAAATGTCTCTAGTTTACATCATCCAGTCTGTGGTATTTTGTTTCAGCAGCCCAAAGAGACCAAGACAAGCCTTAAAAAGGAAAGAAATTCTGACCTGCTACAACACAGAAGAACCTTGAAGCCATTACTCTTAAGCAAACTAAACCAGTCGCAGAAGGACAACTATTATAGGATCCACTTGTATGACATACCTAGAGTTGTAAGATTCAGAAACAGAAGTAGTACAGTGGTTGCCAGAAGCTGGGGATGGGGGAGAAATGGGGAGTTCATGTTTAATGGGTACAGGGGAAGATGAAAATGTTCTAGAGATAATGGTGGTGATATTTGCACAGCAGTGTGAATGGTAATGCCACTGAACTGTGCACTTCAAAAAGGTTAAAATGGTAAAATTCATGTTATATATGTTTTCACAATAAAAAACCAGCTAAGGTTAAATGTATTAACTGGGTGTTGGTAGCAGGATTTAAAACAGCTCTGTACTGTGAAAGGGATACTCATTGAAATATGCATACCTACTAAAATGAAGTAAGTTGAGGTACCCCTTCCCTTGCAGAAGCCACCTGGATGCAGGGGCTGATGGTTGCTAGTAGGCAGATGCCTGTGGGGCCCAGTCAGGCAGCAGTGGGCCACAGACTGTTGACCATGTCTCAGATGCAGCCTCATGTGACAAGAAGCAAAGCCTTCAGGTCTGTCTGCAATTAAGAATAACATACTCTTATTCTCTGATTTGCCCCCCAGGTGGAAGTGACAAAAGAGGAGCTCCACCAGCCAAGGCTCCAGTACGTGGAGAGAAGGAAGAAGGCAATCTCCTAATTGGTACCATATACATCAGGTCAAATAGTTTTCTTTCTTTCCAGCAACACCAACCAAAAGTTCCACCCAACTAAGAGCCATGTGCAAGATAGTGTAAAAACAGTGAACATCTCTGAGATCACACATCTCCCTGCCTGATCCCCCATCCTAATAGTATTGAACCTTAGATGAGCTTATTCCCCCTTACAAATACACAAAGAGGATCAAAGAGGTTAGACAGCATGTCACATCTCCCCATAGTGGCAGGTCTGAGGCTCAGGTTAGGCCAGCGTGCCTGGCTCCAAAGCAGCAGCAGTTGTCAGAGAACCTGGCCCACAGAGCAGAGCGTCCAAGTGGTGGTTATCTGGAAAGAAGGAAAAGGACATTTAGCAATAGCATGGGATTTGAACTCACCCCACAATGGGTAAAATTAACAGCATACTTAATTATATGCTTACTTTATGCCAGTGTAAAATTTTCCTTGGCCTTTTATATCAGTATAACATCTACAGTGGTCTCAGCAAACTTTCTGTAATAGTCCAGATAGTAAATGTTTTTAGTTTTGTGGGCCTTGTGGTCTCTGTGTTAACTGCTCAACTCAGCCATGTGCAAAAGCAACCAGAGACAACATGTAAATGAATGGATGTGACTGTGTTCCAATACAATTTTATTTACAAAAACAGATGGGGGTCACAGGTGGCCCATGGGCCATAACTTGCCCACCCCTTATGTATGCAAACACAGGGATACATTTCCATTTTATCGGCCATGACCAGGTATCCACCAGTGGCCCAGCACCAGTTCACCAGTGTGAGCCTTACATGCCATGTGATGGTTGCTTTCCTCCAGCAATTGGCTGGTGCCTCTTGTGCTCAGGCTGCAGGATATCTGTTGTACCTTTCTAACCAGGATTGTCCCACCTGGGAAATCTAGCATCTTTATGAATTTTGTTCGGCTGTTACTGTGACTGTCATGGTTCTTGGAAAGATGACAGATAGCTTAGCAGACATCTCAGCAAGTTTGGTATTTCAGTCAACTCTGGATTGTGTGGACTCCTTCCTAAGAGCCAAGTGGGGGGTGAGAGCTGAGGGGGTGGGTTGGCACACTGATAAAGCCTGTAATTGGGATATGGTGGGTGACACAGTTACATTGTGGAAGTGTTACATGTTTGAGTAACTTGGAAGAGCATTGGAAATCAAGAGTAACTCCAAATCAATCAATGTGTACTTAGGGGATTGATTTTTTTTAAGTTCTTATTTATTTATTTTGAAAGAGATGCAGACAGCACAAGTAGGGGAGGGGCAGAGGGAGAGGAAGAGAGAATCCTAAGCAGGCTCCACGCTGCTACCGCAGAGCCCAGTGTGAGGACTGTGAGATCATGAACTGAGCCAAAGAGTCAGACGCTCAACCAACTGAGCCACCCAGGAGCCCCAGGTGTTTGATTTTTTGTAAAGAATCTACTCTATCTTCTTTTCAACCAGCTGTCATTGGAGGTAACAGAACGTAAGGTCAGAAACACTTTAGTTCATAATGCCCCCCCTTCTCTCATAGGGCGCACTCAGAGGGATGAAACTTGGATTTGAGTTTTATTCAGTGTCCTACATGAAGAATGGAGCAGTTATCCCAAACAGGCAGAAATGGCTTCTCTCCATTCTCTGTGTGTTCTCACTCACGTGCACTTTTGCCACTTACATCCCCACTTACAGCACTGTGGCTTCCCTCTTCTTTCTTGCAGATGGATGGTTTCTAGCTTGCTTCCAAACCCCACCTCGGCTGAGTGTTGGGCAGCCCTTCTACATGATCCTATGACTCTTGATATGGACGCAGTCCTGTCAGACTTTGTTCGGTCCACGGGGGCAGAACCTGGTCTGGCCAGAGACCTGCTGGAAGGTAAGCTAGCCTCCTCATCCCACGCCACTCTCTTGGCCCTAACTACCTTGCAACCCGGTGACAAAAGATAAGAAGATTTTTGTTGCCTGACAATGGTGGTACCTGGACTCTTAAAAAAAGGTGGGGGGGGGGTGATGAAATTATTTTTGTTATTCTTGGCTTTATTTTGAGTATGGAACAGATTACTCAATTCTACAGTAATAGTGCAAAAGGAATTATTAGTTCAGCTTTGCTTTGCATTAAAGCTTAAAGATATTGAGTCAATTTATCAGAAATCACTTTTTTTAAAGGAACTATATTCCATAGAGCAGAAATAATAGAACATTCAAGAAAACATTTTATTGGAGACCTGAGCATTTCTTTTTTGAAAAATTTTTGACATTTATTTATTATTGAGAGACAGAGAGACACAGAGCATGAGCAGGGGAAGGGGAGAGAGAGGGGAAGACACAGAATCTGAAGTAGGCTCCAGGCTCTGAGCTGTCAGCACAGAGCCCAACGCAGGGCTCAAACTCACAAACTGTGAGATCATGACCTGAGCCGAAGATGGTTGCCTAACCAACGGAGCCACACAGGCGCCCTAAGACCTGAACATTTCTCATCTCTATCTTCACTCAGACAAAAATACTTTAGGCCAAAGTTTTTGATGAAGAAAAACCACCTAGCAGCCAGTAAAATAGGTAGTAATAATTCATACGCAAGAAGGCAGAATTCATCATCAAGCCATACATGTAGATATCATTTGTTACATGAAAAGTGTGCAATTTCTGTCTCAGCCTCTAAAAGGGATTTACTTTGTGTATTTTGAAAATCTTTGTGGTGGGTGTGTGTGTGTGTGTGTGTGTGTGTGTGTGTGTGTGTTTGGTGGGGTAAAAGGTGGGAAGAGCCTATTACAATTTCTCAGAACAAATGCGTGAGAGAATTTTTAAATGATTAGCCTTGGCTTCAAATGTATAAGCCACTGTTTATGGAATTAGCTAAGACTTGGTTAAGTATCATAAATCACTGTCATCCCTTAATTCACTTAGGAAACGATGTGGATTACTCTACATTTGTGGGAATGGTGGAGGTTACCACTCAATCCTGGTGAAAATTAAAAGCCAGCTCTTCAAGGGTTCTGAGAAAATGGCAATAGGGAAGCAGCAACAGTGCAATTTTTAACTTTCCCTGAAGCTCCCAGAATGTCAGACAAACTCAGGGTTCAGAATAAAATATGCTTACTGAACATTTATGACATACATACATCAAAGTGTGATTTTCACCTCCCAGTAGTCACATCCTCTCCCTGCATTTCCGTTGCTCTGAAGTAAGCGGCAGTGCAAAGAGGCAGGTTCAGAATGAGGTTGGCAGCGAGAGCTGGGGCCAAATCCAGATCCAGCCACTTACTGCCTGTGACACATAGGGCAGATTATTTTCTTCCCTTAACCTCAGTTTTTTCTGTATATTGAGCCTAACCCACCTTCCAGGGTGATTACATGCATTAGAAGCTGTGATGTCAAATGCTTAGTGGTGTGACCTGTGTGTAGCAGAGGCTCAAAAAACAGTTGAAGAAAAAAACAAACAAAAACAGTTGAAGAAGATCCCCTTTGTCATTGCAGCCTCGGTAACTGGCACTGACATTGTGCTTAATATCTAGACAGCCTTAAATAGAAAATGAGAATTGTCAGCTTTTTTCTTCCTTAATTTTATCTTTTAAATGAAAATACTGAAAAATTGACCTTTTGGGGTGCAATTCTAAGAATTTTAACATATGCATAGATTTATTTTTTTAAGTTTATTTACTTTGAGAGAGAGACAGAAACAGACTGAGGGAGGGACAGAGAGAGAGAGGGAGAAAGAGAAACCCCAAGCAGGCTCTGCACTGTCAGTGCAGAGAACAATGCAGGGCCCAAACCCACAAAATGTAATATCATGACCTGAGCTGAAATCAAGAGTCAGAAACTTAACCAACTGAGCCACCCAGGTGCCCCAACATGCATAGATTTATGTTACCATTACCACTCTCAGAAGAGAGAATCACCTCATTCCCCACCCCCAGTCCACCCTTCTGCTCTGTTTGATGGCCATGCCCTCTCCCACCCTATTCACTGGCAGCCACTGCTCTGTTTCCTGTCATGTTAGCTTTGTCTCTTTTAAGAGTGCCATAGAAATGGCGTCATATAAAACCTAATCTTTTGAAACTGGCTTCTGTTCACTCAGCATAATTATTTTGAGATTCATCCAAGTTGTGTGTGGAGTTTGTCCCTCTCTATTGCTAAGTGCTACCCATTCTAGAAATGAACCACAGTTTGCTTTCCAGTCACCTGTGCAAGGGCATTTCAGCTGCTTCCCATTTGGGGCAGTTATGACTAGAGCTGCTATAAACATCTGAGAACCGGGGTTTTTGTGAACATAGTTGAAATTTTTCCAGGGTGAACACAGAGAAGTGGGGTTTGCTGGTTCATATGGTAACTGTATGTTTAGATTTAAAAGAACTTGCCGAACTGTTTTCCAGAGTGCTGAACCATTTTGCATTTCCACCAGCAATGGTATTTCTTTTTTCATTATCATTATTTTCATGATTCTCATAGGTGTGTATGGATATTTCCCTATCACTTTAGTTTTCATTCCCCCACTGACCAATGATGTTCAGTTTTTTGGTATTATTTTCTATCTGTATCTTCTCTTTGAAGTGTTCATTCAGTTCTTTGGCCTATTTCTAAATGGAGTTATTTGATTTCTTACAGTGGAATTTTGAGAGTTCTGTATATATTCCGTGAATATCATCCTTTGTCAGAGATGAGATTTGCAAATATTCTCCTCCAGTCTGTGCTTGAATTCTTATCCTCTTGCCAGTTTCCTTTGCAGAGCAAAAGTTTTTAATCTTGATGAAGTCCAATTTATTTTTTTCTTACATAGGTGACATTTCAGGTGACATGTCTAAGAGCCTTTGCATGACAATAATGAAGATTTTCTCCTAGATGGTTTCTTAAAAGTTTTATACTTTATGGGCACCTGGGTGGCTCAGTCGGTTAAGAATCCGACTTTGGCTCAGGTCATCATCTCTCAGTCTATGGGTTCAAGCCCTGCATCAGGCTCGGTGCTGACAGCTCAGAGCCTGGAGCCTGCTTCCCATTCTGTGTCTCCCTCTCTCTCTGCCCCTCCTCTGCTCGTGCTCTGTCTCTCTCCCTCTCTCTTTCTCTAAAAATAAATAAACATTTTTAAAAATTTAAAAAGTTTTATACTTTAGGTCTCCAACTCATTTTGAGTGGATTTTTGTATGACGTGAGATTTGGGCGAGAGTTCATTTGTATACATATGGAAGTCCATTTGTTTCAACACCATTTGTTGAAATGCTTATCCTTCCTCCTCTGTTGAATTGCCTTGGTGCATTTGTCAAAAACCAACTAAATGTATATGTGGGAAGCTATTTCTTGATGCTGATTGTGTTCCATTGATCAACATGTCTATTCTTCTGCCTGTACTTTGCCATCTTGATTAGTATAGCTTTGTGGTGAGTCTTAAAATCAGCATGATTCTTCCAATCTTATTTTTCTTTTTCAAAAGCATTTCAACTATTCTATTACCTTTGCCTTTCCATATAAATATGAGCATTAGCTTATGTCTGTTTATAAAATTTCCTGCTGGGATTTTGATTGGAATTATGTTAAATCTGTAAATCAATCCTATGTTTTGCCTTACACTCTATGAAGTCAGCATAGCCATACTTTACATTTATGTAGGACTTCTTTGTTTTCTTTCATCCACATTTTGTAATTTTTAGCCTATAAATCCTATATGTGTTTGTTAGATTTATATATAGGCCTTTTTTTGAGGTACTGTAAATGGTATTTTTTTTAATTTCAGTTTCTAATTGTTCATTGCTAGTATCGAAAAATATAACTGATTTTTGTGTGTTGCCCTTGTATCCTACAATCTTAGTAAATTCAATTATTTGTTCTAGGGTATATGTGTATGTGTACACCCTCATGCATGGGTGTGTGTGTGTGTGTGTGTGTGTGTGTGTGCATGCATGTGTATATTCCTTTGGATTTTCTACATAGGCAGTCATGTTATCTCTGAGTAGGGGGAGTTTTATTTATTCCTTTCAAATATGTATGCCTTTTGTTTATTTTTCTTGAATTATTGCATTGGCTGGGACTTCCAGGAAAAGGTTGAATGGTAATGGTGAAAGAGAGCATCCTTGCCTTGTTCTTGATCTTAGGGGGGGGAGCAGTCCCCCATCAGTCTTTCATCATTATGTAAAATAGCTGTATGTTCTTGTAGATAGTTCTTCATAAGGTGGAGGAAAGTCTTTTCTGTTCATAGGTTGCTGAGAGTTTTATCGTGAATACATGTTAACTTTTTCAAATGCATTTTCTACACAATTGATATGATCCAGTGTTTTTTCCTTCTTTAAACTGCTAATAAAATAGATTATACTGATTGCCTTCTAATACTAAACCAGGCTGTCAGCCATTATTTAAAGATTTTTCTTTTTTTTTTAATTTTTTAAAATGTTTTATTTTTATTTTTGAGACAGAGAGAGACACAGCATGAATGGGGGAGGGTCAGAGAGAGAGGGAGACACAGAATCTGAAACAGGCTCCAGGCTCTGAGCTGTCAGCACAGAGCCTGATGCGGGGCTCGAACTCAGGAGCTGTGAGATCATGACCTGAGCCGAAGTCAGATGCCCAACCAACTGAGCCACCCAGGTGCCCCTATTTAAAGATTTTTCTAATCCACGTTTTTCTCTTCTCCTGAGACTCAGCTGATATGAGTCTTAGAATTTACTACCATTCTCAATTCACTGCAGTTCTATTCACTTTCTTTCTCAATCTTATATCTATTCCAATTAGATTATTTCTGTTGCTCTGTTTATATATTTACTATTTCCTTTGTCATCTCTATTCTGTTATTGAACCCATCCAATGAATTATTTTATTTGGGTTGTTGAAACTTTTTTTTATTTCTTTTTTTAATGTTTATTTATTTATTTTTGAGAGAGAGAGAGAGAGAGA